CCCCCCCCCCCGCTCCGTTGCTGACAAGTTCTCTAGTCCCTCCAGGCAACGTGGGTGTGGGCAGAGTGCTAATTTCCCTAATGATGTCCATGCTCTAATGCCTGTAACTTCTGAATGTTATTTAACTTGAATTCCTTGAGAAGGGGAGAATATCCTGGATTATATCGGGGGCCCAGTATAATCATACAGCTCTTCAAAGTGGAAGAGCAAGGTGGAAAGGTGAGTCAAGGACATATGCTGTGGAAGATGGTCAGAGGCTTGAAGCATGAGGTCAGCGACCTGCTCCAGCTGGCTTTGCAGTGGAGGAAGCCAAGGCAGGACACCACCAGCAGGGAAACTCGGGCCTCATTTCTCTATCCAGAGACTAAACTCAGCTCACAACCTGAATGATCTGGGAAACAGACTCCTCTAGAGCTCCTGAAGAAATGCAGCCTCCTGAGACTTGGATCGATGCAGATGCTGTTGTCATAATTTGCTAGAACAGCAGTGGAAAACTTATGCAGACCACTTCCTGTGCTGTCATTAGTCTTTGGAGTTCTTGGACCTCAGGTAAGTGAATAACCCAGTATGAACTCTTGCATCTGGCCTCTTTCACTTAACATGTGTTTGAGATTCATTTACATTGCATGTGATAATAATTCTATTTTTCATAACCAAGTTACATCCCCAGCCCTTAAAACAATTTCTTTTGGAGTCTTGTTAAATTGCTTAATTGCCCAAGCTGGGTTTGAATTTACAATCCTCCTGCCTTAGCCTCCCAGTGCTGGGATTAGAGGTGTGCCATCATGCTCAGGTTCCATTCTCTTCGGTCATTTCCAGTTTCTTTTTTTTTTTTTTTGGAGACAGGGTCCTGCTATGTGATTCAGCCTGGCCTTGAACTCACTATGTAGCTCAAGCTGGCCTCAAACTCACAGGAATCCTCCTGCCTCGGCCTCCTGAGCGCTAGGATTACAGGCATGTGCCACCACCCCTGGCTGTTTCATTATTTTATATATATATACATACACACACACACACACACACACACACACACACACACACGTTTTTCTTTTTCCTTTTTTTGTGACAGAGTTTCATAGTTCAGGCCGGCTTTGAATTTGCTTTGTAGCCCAGGCCTGGAAATATGTAGATTCTTCTTTTTTTAAGACAGGGTCTCGCTATGTAGTTCAGGCTGGCCTTGAATTCACTATGTAGCCTAGGTTGGCCTCAAACTTGAGGTGATCCTCCTGCTTCATTCTGGGTGGTAGGATTACAGATGTGTGCTGCCACACCCAGCTGCTGCTTAATCTTGAATTTTGGACCATTTGACCATAATCTAGTGAAAACCATGCATCTCTGCATTAATATAATTTATTTATTTATTTTTGGTACTGGGGATTGAACTCCGGCCCTTGCACTTTCGAAGTAGGCGGTGAAACCACTGAGCTAAATCCCCGGCCCCTATTAATATACATTTTTAAGGGGAGAATTACGATCTAAAATTTAAAGTAAAGCCACAATCCTTTAGTAAGAGACATCTATGCATAGCTTAATTTTTTTTTTTCAGCTGCAGTAACTTTGAAGTTTCATTAGTTATTACGTTAAAGGAATGATAAACATACATAAAAAAGTTTATTCTCAGTAGAAATCTCAAGCTCCTTAATTGGTAGTAACAATAACAGAACACGACAGAGACTGGTAAACAGCAACCACCCTCTCCCTGTACGTCCTCACCTGTGCCAATCAGGTGCTCTTCCGCTGAGCCCCAGCCCCAGCCCTGGCCCTGAACACCACCTTTCTTGAGGCAAATGAATTATCAAACTGGCTTCTGTGTAGGGTATTATTTCAAGCTTAACCCAGCCCTGGCCTTTTCACCTTTCAGTTTATTTCCTTTTTTTTTTCTTTTTCCAAGTACCAGGGATCAAACTCAGGACCTTGAGCTTGACAGGCAGGTGTGGTGCCACTGAGCTACATCCTTGACATTTTCAGTTAATTTTCACTATGCTTTTTGTTCCCAAATGCTCTAAAGTAGATTTGAGTGGATTTTATTGACTTTATGATTGAGGGGAAAAAATGCCAAAGATTCTGATTTGCCTAAAGTCATGGTTTGCATGAACTGGAACCAGTAACTTGGTGCTTTTCAATACTGGAGCTTCCTACTTTTCACCTGTTGCCTTAACCCTTAGCCCCTGCCCTCAATTTCAACTGATAGTTTTCAATCACATAATTTGATTTTTTTGATGTGTATATGTCTTATAAGAGAATTGACAATTTTGGGGGTTTTTTTGGTCCCGGGGATTGAACTCTGGACCTTATGCTTGAGAGGCAGGCAGTGGCTGCACCATTGGGCTAAATCTCCAACCTTGGGGTTTTTGAGACAGTGTCTAACTAATTCAGGCTGGCCTTGAACTCACTACGAAGCCTAGGCTGGCTCTGAACTTGCAGTGATCCTCTTGCCTCAGCCTCCTCAGTGCTGGGATTACAGGTGTGTGCCACTATGCCTGGCTGGGAAATGACACTTTTGTAATTATTCTACCTCAACATCTGCTTAAATACTTTAAGTGTATATAAACTGAATTACAACTTGAATATGCAGAGCAGACCTTGTCTCAAAAAAAGAACCAAAAAAAGAAGAAAAAAAAAGAATATGCAATGATTTTCCTACCACTCAAAAATTTTAATGTGTGCTGAAGATTCCGGACCAAAAAATGTGCAAAGACAAGAAATATCAAAATAATCAATTTCTAAAACTCTTCACATATTAAATGTGATTTACAATATGTATTTGCCATTATGGTATAGATAATAAAATTGTACCCATACCAGATTCATCCACTTAGCAAAATTCCTAGTATAAGAATAAAAATATTCAGATGCTTATAAATACAAGTTTCTTCTGGGTAACATTCTTTGGTGTTCATAAAACTGTATATATTATATACTGTATGTATTTATCATAGTCTTTTCAGACTATGCACACAGTTAAAATTGGAAATGGAGATATAAATTAGGCATCACTATGGAAAGTAATTGTAGGGTATTTTAATTTCATTGCCCAAAGATTTATGGACAAGTTTTACTTATTAAACCTTGATATAGCTATTCTTCGAATTTTAAAAATATATATACATCTTCCAGAAATTAGAAAAAAGTTATTTGCACAGGCAGTGTTCAGCTCTGAATTGACAGTTACTAACTCTTCTTGGTTGGCTCTTCCATGGTGTAAGGAGGTAGACGGAATGATGAAAAGCCCAGGATTGCTTGGGTACCAGCTAGATAACAACCCAGAATGCCAGATGTCTAACAAGAGATAGAGCATTCTGCTTTGGAGGAAGATGACAAGTGAATAAATGAATAACAAAGACACAACTTAGTGTAAGTTCTTAGCCCTAATAAATTATTCATTTGCAAAAATTACCAAAAGTAAAAAAAATTTATTTTACAGAGTGGTTGGTCTTGTAATACATCAAAAACTGTAATGTGATACTTTCCTGTTTTCACTGCTTATCTCAAATCAGTGGTTAAAGTTTCTTCTAAATAATTAAGTTTACATTTAAAGTGGCAAGTTAGATTTTACTTAATGGACTTAAATTATACTTAAAAACCAGTTTTATATACAGAAAATCCATAAATATAGAATTTTTATTCCTATTTTATCTCAGGTTATGCAAAAAAAATTGACTAAAAACTTCATTTGGGTCTCTGTAATAAAATGTAAATACATATTTACAATGGAGATGCTTTCTGATAGAAAGTAAACAAGTAATTTTGGTTTTCATTAGAATCCATCATTATGTGTCCATTTTTTTTTTTTCTTTTTTTGGTACCAGGAATCGAACTAGGGTCCTTGTGTTTGTGCAGCAGGCGGCAAAACCATTGAGCTAAATTCCCGGCCCATGTGTCCATTTTTGAAGATGATGTGATATATCATGTTCACTCAAATGTTAAGATTCCTTTCATACACATAATTCAAATGTGGTAATTATTTTTCTTGTACCAATAATGTTTAATTCTGTATTTAAATTTTCTTTAAGAAAGATTCCTTGATCCAATCTCCAAATAGTAGTGAGCTTTAAAAGGTTTTGTACAATTATGTGCATTTTTGTCCTTTGGGCACTATTACAAACACTGAGTTATTTAATCTTCATTGCTGACAGGCCAGGGGTGTTCCTGAGTTATCTCACATGATGTAAGTCCCATCTTTGCAGTATTTCATGGACTCCATTTGTTTTGTCATAGCCAGAACATCATGAAATCCAGTACTTAGGCCAGACATATGTTGAAAGTATGCCTCTTTTTCTACTTGAATCGTTAAATTGTTTATTCCAGCATCTTTAAGTACTCCTGTAACCTGTTATAAAAACCAAAAATTTTAAAGCATTTAGAGTAATGCATTTAGTACATGTCTTAAATAATTAATATCACATTATTATAGCTGAAGATAGTCTAAGACAAAACCTCAAAGTAATATTTACTATTTAGTCAAAATGTTAAGTGGATTTCTAGGAAGATCATTAAATTACTGACCTGACATTTGTTTATTTTAGGCTAGTAAGTGAAGCAGTGAGAGTGGAGAAGGAAGAATGCTGAAACTGCCTATGATCAGTTAGTTGGCTGCATCACTGCATTCAGATCAGCCCTGACCTGACACTGAAGTAAAGGAGAAAAAACACCTATGGTTTCCCATTTGGCACATTTAGCTTAGGTGATAGAACTTTTTTGTACAGGGATTAAGCATAGGGCCTCTATGCTGAGCTACATCCTCAGCTTTTTATTTTAGTTTTAGGATCAGGTCTTGCTAAATTGCTTAATTGCCTAGCTTGGGCTCTAACTTATGATTCTCCTGCCTCAGCTACCCAGAGTGCTAGCTAGGGTTGCAGGCATATGCCATGATGCTGGGCTTATAGAACTGTTTTGATTCATATATCCAAATATAGCATATACTCTGCCAACTTGGTTATTTAGAGATATATTTACAGTAACATTTCTTTATAATCAACTGAGAACCAAAATGGATCACAGATGAATTTTTTACATTTACTAAAACTTGATTGTAACCATTTTTGGATATAAAATAAATCTAAATGTAAAGAATAAGTTGTTTTAATTAAAAAATAATTATTGTTAATTACCCTTAGGCTGCTGAAAGATTTTGTTTTGTTTTGTTTCTGAAACAGGGTCTTGGTACATAGTTCAGGCTGGCCTTGAACTATGTAATCAAGGTTGTTCTCTAACTTGCAGTAATCCTCCTGTCTCAGCTTCCCTACTGCTGGGATTACAAGTGTGTGCCACCATGCCCAACCCTGAAAGACTGTTTTTGTTTGTTTGTTTGTTTTTGCTTTTTTTTGGTACTGGGGATCAAACTTGGGTCCTTGCACTTGCGCAGCAGGCAGCGAAACCACTGAGCTAAATCCCCGGCCCCTGAAAGACTGTTTTTGAAAAGTAAATGACTGTTGAGCTGTATGAAGAATGATCTGTGCACTTTTATGTATGAATTATCTCAAATGAAATTATAAAAACAGAAGATTATTACCTGCTGTACTATTCTTTGTTCCAGCACATCAGATGTCACCTGTATATGAATTGTTCCTGCCACAATACTGGCAGAATGACGCCAAAAATGAGGGTCTCGGTATGATATTAATCCTTCAATTTTCTGTATCTGTCAAATAAAAGAAGTGATATAAATGTTCTTACAGGATAATTTACTTAACGTAACGAGGATGCTTTGTGCTAGAAAGTTAACACACAGATTCTTTGGTCTAGGAATCTCTAAAAAAAAAAAAAGCCAGAAGTGGGAAGTAATGAGAGAGAGACAGCTAGCTTGAGTAAAGGTGTCTTTTTCACTGATGTAATGCTTGATTTGCCTACTGTAAACATTACCTGGACATGGCATGGATTCCTTTACATGCAATCATAACACAAGATAACAGAGTGAAAAGATATCCTCCATGTCCCACAATAGAGGGTCAGTTAAATTACTGGCTACCCATGTAATATAATACTACATTATTGTTAACAATGTGCAGTGGCGGGCTGGGGATTTAGGTCAGTGGTTCTGGCGCCTGCCTCACAAGCACAAGGTCCCAAGTTCGATCCCTGGTCCCAAAACAAACAAACAAACAAACAAACAAAAAAACCCTTAAATTCCATTGCATTCTGTCACTAAATGCAATTAATGTTATGGGCTGGGGATTTAGCTCTGTGGTTTCGCCACCTGCTATGCAAGCACAAGGACCCGAGTTCGATCCCTGGTACCAAAAAAAAAAAAGTGCAGTGGCACATACCTATAACCCCAGCTTCTTGGGAGGCTGAGGCAGGAGAATGGAAAGGCTGATCAATGTAGTGAGACCCTGTCTCAAAATTTAAAAAAAAGCTGGATATGATGGTGCATCCCTGTAACCCTAGCACCCTGTGAGGCTAAGGCAGAAAGGTTGCAAGTTTGAGCCCAGTCTTGGCAGTTTGGTGAGACCATCTTAAAATGGTAAAAAAAGGAGGTAGGAAAAAAACACAAAAACAAACAAAAGGTGGTAGATGTTGTTTCGTGTGAAGGCCCTGGGTTCAGTCTCTAGTACTGTACTTCCAAAAAACAAAAAGTAATATTCACTAATTATGAGAAGGTGAGAAAACTTCTCTAATTTTTTTTTTGAAAACTTCTCTAATTTTATAAAAATGAATTAAATAGTCACAATGCTGCAGCTGGGACTGGGGGTGTGGGCCAAATGATAAAGCAAATGCTTAAAATGCACAAGGATGTGGGTCTGATCTCTTAACACACACACAAAAAAAGCTCACAATTCCAACATTTCCTTTTTTATAATTAATTTTAAAATTTTTACTAGTACATATTTACAGTATATGATCACATTCATTGTTCTTTCCTTTTTATTTTTTTTTAATTTAAAAAAATCTTAATTGGCTTTCCGTTCAATTCTAGAAACACTTTATGGGCAACACTTCATTCCATAATCATGATGGCAACTTTGCAGCAGTAGATCCCAATTACTTTGATATGGCAAGCCACATAGTTAAAGTATTTTATTATGTAATTGTGTCTTTTTTTTACTATCCATCTACTCTCTATCTACTACCCATGGATCTACCATCTATGTATGTATGTATGTATGTATGTATGCATATATGTATTTGAGACAGTGTCTCTCTATGTAGGTATAGTAGTGCAAGCCTCTAATTCCAGCATTTGGGAGGCTGAGGCAGGAGGATCACCTCGAGTTTGAGGTCACCTTGCGCTACATAATGAGTTCAAGACCAGCCTGAACTACATAGTGAGGCCCAATCTCAAAAAACAAAGAAAAAAACCCCAACAAAACAAACAAACAAGATTTTCTCTACTTCTGTAATTATAAAAATATTTTTCTATAGTGGACCCTCAAGTCACAACTGGATTGACATACAAACAACTTGGGTTACAACTGCCATTTTAGTTTTAACTTACAGACAGTCTTGGATTATGACCTAAATGCCAGCCACTTGTGCTTCCAGATGGCCTCAGATACAGATTTAACCCTTAAAGAGTTCTGGATTTATTGAGAAATCCTGGGCCAGTGTCTCTCTACGATACCGAGCTCTGCCTGTACACAGGAGAAAGAATTTGAAGGCTGTGTAGAGGAGCCTGAGCCTTCCACTGACCAATCTGAGTTACAACCAGCCCTCGTGAAGAACTGAGTTTGTAATTCTAGGGTCCATTGTATTTTAATCATTTTATAATTTTATTTACATATTTAACCTGTTGGAAATATATGGCATAGATAGATTCTTTTTTAGATAGATTCTTTTTTAAAGTCAACCACTATATATTTAGACCAAGGCTTACTGCTTTAGAATAATGACTAGTAAAAACGATTCTATTGCATGATAATTACATTCAATTATGTGATTGGCACATTAATGTCTGTTTAAAGGAACTGCTAATCCAAACTGGTTTGAATACACTGTTCTTTCGGTAGTAAGACCATCTGAGGACAAGAAAAGAGAATGTAAGGGCCTGGTAGAAGGATGCCTGGGAATGAGGGATGGGAGGAAAGAGGACCAGACAAAGCAAACAGGAAGGAGGGAATCTGAGGTAGGAGGCTGTAGAAGGAGAGAGGCTCACAGGCTCCAAGTAAGTCGCGCTGGGGCAAATCCACCTTGAGATATTGCTGTCAGGTATAATGGAGTGGAAATACTGATTAGCAGATTAACCCCAGTTTTCTGACAATCTGTTAGTGACTACAAAGTTTCACAGACATAAATGGACCTCAAATTACAGTCGTAGATGAAAAAAATCATAAAAGTAGCTTACATGTCTGCCTATAAATATAATTTATAGTATTTGTATGTTTCTTTTTTTATGCTTTATATTGTATATTTATTTATGTCAAAGGTGTGGTCAGACTTACAAATGAATCTGACTTATGGACGTTCTTGTTCCTAAGTAGGGGACTTACAGTACTGATAATGTGCTGTAGAAAGTAATGTCCAAAATACTGTAAAACCTACTCTGATAACCTTGTAGTATTTATAAAGGTCTTAAAGGTCACAGAGCCTTCAAAAAGCAATTACTTCAATCCCCGGAACCAAAAAAAAGCAATTACTTCATCTGGTCCTAACAATGAGAACAGGCAGAACACATCCCTTAGTTCAAGGTCAATGATTCTTTTTTGCGGTACCAGGGATCAAACTCAGGACCTTGTGCTTTCACTGCAGGTACGATGCCACTGATTTATATCCCCAGCCCAAGGTCAATGATTCTTAAGTCCAGATGACTGAGGGCCTAGTAAGCTACACAGCCTGAAGCCTGGTCCAGTCTGTAAGGTGCAGTGGTGAAGAGCCTAGATCTGAAATCCAAACTGAGGAACTGATTAGAATATACACCTTGAGCCTCAGTTTCCCCTCTGCAAAGTGGGACATGGGAAGGAAGTCTTGAGCAAATGCACACAAGCAGTTGAGCAGTGTCTGATGACCTTGTTAAAATGCAGGTTGACTCAGGTCTAGGGTGGGAGTTGAAGTTTCAAATGTCTACCAGGTTCCAGAAGACGCTGCTGCTGCTCACCTGCAGGCTGGGTGTTCATGTCTCCAACCTACTTCACTCCTGAGTGCAGGAGCCACCGACAGCTACGGGGGACACAGCAGGTGGCCCACTATTGGCTCTGGGGTGCACTTACACCCTGCCTAGGATACTGCTGAGGGAGGATCAGGACTCTGGGTTTCATCCAGCTTCCTATACTTAGTGATTTTTTTTTTTTCTCTGAAAACTCTGGACACTGCTCTGGAAAAGACTGGTACCAACAGGAAAGAAACTGCTGCATCTTCTTCAGTCCTCCTATGACAGCACAGGTTTTCATTTCTATGAAATGGAAATGTGGTAAGCTGGTTGATTAGGTAGGTAAATGCTTTTGTTTTGTTTTGTTCTGATTTGGTTTTTGGTTTTTTGAGACAGGGTCTTGCTGTGTAGTTCAGGCTGGCCTTGCACTCATGGCGATCCTCTTGCCTTAGCCTGCACAGTGCCAGGTGGTGTGCACCACCATACCTGGCCTAGCAGTCTTTATCGCTATCTGAAATGCCATCTTTGCTATCTATTGAATTCCATTAATTCCTAGGATAGTTTTTTTCCTTAGGTCTGTTTCTGAAAAAACTATTCTTTATTCATGGTACTGGGAATTGAATTCATGGGTACTCTACCACTGACCTATATCCTTGCCCTTTTAAAAATTTTATTTTGAGATAGGCTTTCCCTAAGTTTCCCAGCCTAGCAATCAATCTGTGATTCTCCTGCCTCAGTCTCCCCCGTAGCTGGGATTAAAGGCATGTGCCAGCAGGTTCTGCAAACTGTCATTTTTAAAAAAATTGATTTATGTGTTTATTCTTATGAAAGGTCCAAGATGTTAGCTTTGTATGTTAATTCTGTAACTTTAAAATTATAAAATAGGATCCCACTAATTAATTCTATACTTTTATGGCTACCTTTTTTTTTTCAGTACCAGGAATTGAACTCAGGACCTGTGCTTGTAAGGCAGGTGTGGCGCCACTGAGCTAAACCCTGGCTATGGTTACCTTTTTGTTTATTCTCAAATACTGACTCTTCCAAATCAGTTCCAAATAATATAGGATTATCTATCTTCCAAAAGAAAAACAAAATCCCAATGAGAGGCAACTGAATTGAGATCTAGAAAAAAGGAAAATCAACATTTTCATGATATAGCATTCCTATCCAAGAAAGTATCTCTTTCCATTTAGCCAGTCCCTCTTTTATGTCCTTTAAGTAAAACTATTTTCTTCATTCATATTTTACATATTTCTTGTGAACTAAACTCTCTTAATTTTGAATGCCATTTTTAAATGAAAAAAAGTAATGAAAAAATTTCATACAGTACCTTTTCTAAAGCAATGTGTAGTTCTTTCTCATGTTCTGGTGGCAGTCTTAGAAGCAGAACTTGACAAGCATCTTTAATCAGTGGGACAACACTGAGAAATATTAATACAGCGATAAAAAGAGAACAGAGGGGATCAGCAATGAACCACCCGAACTGCTCTATCAGAATTGTAGACACGATCACACCAATACTGCCAAGTGTGTCTGCCAAAACATGTAGAAATACACCTACAGATAAAATATACAACAAGAACATTAAAAATTAAGGTGCATCTAATTTAATTCTTTCACCTATCCTACCAGTATTTCTGGGTACCTACTAGGCACCATGAACCTTGCTAGTGGCTGGTAATTCAAAATGACTAAAATGGAGTCACTGTTTTTAAGGTATTTTGAGTACAAAAGGTAAAGATGTGGGCAAGCTAAGGACACAGTGTGCTAAGTTTTAAGACTCTTTGGTTTGTCTGGAAAGGTATCATAAAACTTAGGCTTCAGTTTTTGACTTACCCATATTCTTTATATTAAACAGCAAGAAGCGATTACTATATCCCCATATATATATACACGTGTATATATATATACATACGTATATATATATACACGTGTATATATATATACGTGTATATATATATATATATATTTATTTTTTTGGGGGGGTACCAGGGATCGAACTCAGGTCCTTGAGCTTTCAAGACAGGCAGCAGAACCGCTGAGCTAAATCCCTGCACCCCCCATTTTTTATAATACATCACCTCCTTTCCTTTTTCGTGAAAGTTCACAATGGTATATTTCAACCTTTCCCAGCAACCAATATTTATTCATCTGCCAGTATGAAAATGATTTTATTGGGGCTGAGGATCTAGCTCAGTGGTAGGGGTGCTAGTCTGCTGGGCAAGCTTGAGGGTGTGGATTTATTCCTCTTTATCACAAAACAAAATGAATGTATAATTATAATTTATTTAAAAATGGAATTTATGAACAAATGCATCCTCCCTCCCTCTGTCCCTCTCTTCCCTCCTACCTCCCTCTTTCCCTGCCCACTTCCCTCCTCCCTGTTTTGGGGTGCTGAAGATCAAACCCAGGCCCTCACTTACTAGGCAAGCACTATACCACTGAGCTACATCCCCAGCCCTTTTCATTTTTTCAAAAATGTTCTTTATTGTGGTAAGAACACTTAACATGAGCTTTACCCTCTTAATGGTATCATACATCCATAGTGCTTATGGATACAATGTTATACAGTAGATCTCCAAAACTTACTTTGCTTAACTGAGACTTTCGCCTGCTGACTAGCAGTCTTCATTTCTCCCTCTCTAGTCACCACTATTCTGTGCTTTGATTCTATGAATGTCATCACATGCTAGTGGAATCATGTAGTAACTATCTTTCTGTGATGAGCTTATTTAACTTACCATAATCTCAAGGTTCTTCCATGTTGTTGAATATTACAGAATTTCCTTTGTTTTTAAGGTTGAGTAATATTCCATTTTACTTATATAAGCATGAGTGTTTTCTTTTTTGGTTGAGACAGGGTCTTGCTATGTAGCTCAGGCTGGCCTCAAACTTGTGTCAATCCTCCTGCCTCAGCCTCCTGAGTGCTGGGGTTATAGGAATGTACCACCACTACTACTAGCACATGAGCATTTTCTATAGCACATGACTTTAGACCCATTTTGGGGGCACATACTGCTTTTTCTTCTTTTGAGAAAGTGTCTCACTATGTAGTCTAGGCTGGCACTGAACTCACTATGTGGCACAGGCTGACTTCAAATTTGCCATCCTCTTGCCTCAGCCTCCTGAGTGCTAGGATTATAGGCATGTAGCAACAAGCCTGACTGCCACATACTGCTTTTTATAAATGCAATTGTACAAGAAGGCCAATATTTAATAAAAACAAACACAGGATTATCAATTGAGAAGACAGGAGAAAGGTAGGACAGTACTTTGCAAGGACTTACCCCTCATGTTAGCATTCATGCCTCCACCTAAGAATCCGTGACTGTGACCGTGCCCATGGTCACTGTGTCCATGCGTGTGGTGTGAATGGCTATGATCAGATGAGTGGCAGCTTCCTTGAGAAGGTCCATGGCTGTGACTATGGGCCTGGCTAAAGGCACAGATTCCAATAAGGTTTACAATCAGCCCTCCAACTGAGACTGGCTAGCAAAAGGAGAACAGAAAATCTTTAAGTTTGTAATTTTAAAAATAAACTTGTTATTTAAAATTACATAGCTATATGTTTTTGTTTATATTTTTGAAAATATTCAGAGTAAAACCTAAGTTCCATAAGCACAAAATGTTAAAAACGTGAATTTTAAGGCCAGGGATTTAGCTCAGTGGCTCCATGTCTGCCTGGCAAGATCCTGAGTTCGATCTCCAGTACCAAAAAAAAATGTGAATTTTAGAAGAATCATTTTAACTTTCAAATACCAAACAAAACTGACAAGTTTGGATTTACTTTACATAAGTGATTTAAAAGTACATAACCAAGTACGTGGTTTATGTATAGGTAAATGGTGCAAAGTTTTGTTTATTTAGAGTTTGAAAGTACTGCTCACCATGGCAAGGACACACTGTATTTCAAATCTTGCTTATACAACTAGGTAAATTTCAACAATTTGTATAATAATGATTGTATTATATTAACTAGTGGATTCCAAATACAGTCTACTGTGCCTTTTAGTTTTTAATTCTTTTTTTTTTTGGTACTGGGGATCGAACTCTGGTCCTTGCATTTGTGAGGCAGGCAGCAGAACCACTGAGCTAAATCCCTGGCCCTAATTTTTAATTCTTTATTTTGTATTTTGAGACAGGGTCCCACTAACTTCCCAGGCTACCCTTGCATTTGCCATCCTCTTGCCTCAGTTTTCTGAGTAGCTGGGATTACACCATGAACCAGCATGCCTGGCCTTACTGTGCCTTTATAGTAAAATTTTCTGTTGTAAAAAAGGCATAATGAAAATGCAACATACAGTAGCAATTGCTCAACTTTTTAAACAAAGTTAATAAAATTATCTTGACTTAATAGTGCCACAATAATACTCCAAAGGACAAGCAGTTAGCTTTCTCCTCTTTCATAAAATTATTTTGAAGAATAGCTCACTGTACTAATTTACATATATCCGTATTTTTTTCCTTTAAAGAAATCAATTTGTTTTATAAAACGTAAATATAAAAATGAGGGATACAAATAATTTTAGCCATTTTTAGGCATAGTAAAGAAGAGATTTACTTTAGTAAACATGTATGGGGCTTATTTACTTCTTGTGACTCAGACCACTGGTCTGCCAAAATTTAAAATTTCAGTTAGCTTTGGAAGTTTGTTATAAGTTAATGAGTCTGAATGAAATCAAATACTGCTTATGGAAACTCTACCATCTTATAAATACTTCTCTACTGAGAAAGACTTTATTTTTGCATATTTCATCAGAAAAAAGGGGAGGTGAAAGTCACCTGTAATTCTACCCTCAGAGTAGTACATTTTCTATGTATATACTAATATACATTTATTTATTTTAAAACCAATAACAGAATTGCATTATTTTGCAATTTTTCACTTCGTACATCTTATAGATATTTTTCATGCCAGTACCTATCTCATTCTTTTAACTAGCTGCATAATATTCTATTATATGGACGAGAAATTTATTTGACTAGTCCTTTCACTGGTACACATTTATTTATTTCCACTTTTTTCACTATTATAAACAGTGACACAACAAATCACATACTTCTGAATACTTGTGTAAATGTTTCTTTATGATATTTTTCTCTTTGGTGCTGGGGATTATACTCATGGCCTTGTACATGTTAACCATATGACTTACTCTCTCATTGCTTCTGTACGGTAAACACTAAAGGTTAAAAGATATAGGCATTGCCAGATGTATTGGCATATGCCTGTAATCCCAGTTAACTGGGAGGCTAAAAGAGGATCATAAATTTGAGGCCAGACTTTTGTCTCAAAAATTAAAAAGGGCTTGGGATGTGGCTTAGTGCTCGAGTTCAATCTCCAGTACCATTAAAAAAAAAGAAAAAAAAAAAGAGCTTTTAAAGATTCAATGTGTATTTCTAAACTGTATTCCAAAAACATTTAGTACTAATGTATGCTTCCAGGAACAAGATTCAGAACTGCTTTAAGTCATTTGATGATTAATCGCTAATTTTCCTAGTATGAAGAAGATGCTACAATCAAACAGTTAATGATACATAATTTAGGTTCTGAATTAAAACACATTTTAATTGTGGAAGAATGATTAATTAAATAACTGTTAATGTTGTTAAAAAGAGGAATGTGCAAGGTTCAGTGGGAATATTGAGAGAAGGAATCTAAGGAACTGTGGGAGGGAATATAAAAGAGGAAGGATTAAGGAAAAAAGGACAAACAGGTGAGCAAAATCTTAAGGGAGGATGTGTAGGGTAGGAGTTGGGGTGGTGCATGCCAACTATTGGAGACAGCACACAAAAAGGTCTGGAAGTACGGGGAGAATATTAAACATTTCTATAGTAGTGAAATAATCTATGGAGTAAAACCTTTAAAATTTTAATTTTTTTTCTGATTTTATCTCTAACATTACAAATTTCCTCAGGTATTTAAAAATACATCTTCAAACAAAAACATTTAAAAAGTCAGAAACCTATATTGTACGTTTTATTATATACTCTAATATTTTAACTACTAAAATATTGGAGAAAAGGATTAATTAATTTCTAAGATTCAGCATCTAATTTCTAAGATTCAAATATTGATAGTTTTCCCTTATCCTCATGGGATATGTTAAGACCCCGCCCCCTCCCACAGGTGGTTCCAGGACTAACAACAAAAAAAAGACCCCCAGCGGATATCTAAAACCATGGTTAAGACCAGACCCTATATATACTGTATCTTTTCCTGCACATACATGCTCATGATAAAGTTTAACTTATACGTATAAGTTAACGTTAGGCACAATAAAAGTTTAATAAGAATGATTAGTGTATGTGCTGCCGAAGCAAGCACTAACAAGAATGATTAATAATAAAATGGAGCAATTATAAACATGTAGTAGAAGCCAGTTATACTCTGGAATTTTTTTTTTCTCCCAGTACCGGGGATTGAACTCAGGACCTTATGCTTGCCAGGCAGGTGTGGCACACTGAGCTACATCCCTGACTCTAGAATTATTTATAGAATTTTCTATTTAATATTTTCAGACCATGGTTAATTGTAGGTAACTAAAGTTGCAGACAGAAAAACCATGGGATAAGGGACAGATACTATGTAGCAAGAAAAGAAGTTGATTTAAATAAAACTAAAATAAAACTTTCTAGATCAATAAATGCTAGAAAAACTGTAAATCTGAGTAGAAATTCAAATAGGAAAAGGAAAAGACTTACTGTCAACATGTTTGTATCTAATTCCGGAGGATCAATCAGTCTAGCCACTGACTCCATAAACACAAAAAAAGCTATCACTATTAAAAAAAGTCCATTAATGAATCCAGAGAGAATTTCTATTCGGCCATACCTAAAAACACAGTAATTTTTAGAAAAGGAAAATAAGTATTTAATAACATTACTATTTTACTAATGAGGAAACAAGTCCAGATTTTCAAACTACTAAATAAATAATAGAAAATTACCAATATTTAAAGTATCGTATTAATACTGGGCAGTCCTTCCACAGATATTTCTGTTGAAATTTTACATATTCAAAGTCCTTCTTTAGTGTCTCTCTTACAAAAATTCTTTCCTAATTCTTAGTAAGAAGTTATTTCTTTCTTTAAATCCTTGATGTGCTCTGTATCTGTTGTGGCACATAGATTTTTGCTTTGTGCCAAAATTATCTGTACTTTTGGTTCATCTAACATTAAAGATATAACCAGTTGAGAGTAAGAGCTAAATTTACTAATTTAGTATTCTTATCAAAATACCATGCACAAAAGATTCTAATATTATTATACTTAATGAACATTTTTATGTATAGCTACTTCAAATTTTGAATGTTCTTTTTAACAAACACTAAGTTAAAAAGAAGTCTTTTTAACAACCATGCATATTCCACTTCCTCAAAGAAAAACCAAGAAAAAAACCACCTTGGGCAAAGATCCTAAGATTTTAACTTCTTTTTTGCTCTTTGCCCATGAAAAGAACTTGCCAGCGAGTTTAACCTTGAGTTCACTATTGTATTTAGCAAATGCTTAGTTCGTATCTACTTCAAACTAAAGAAAAATGAAGACCTTAAAATTATCTCTATTAAAAGTAATACATTTTTATTCCCTTCCATGGAATTTGCACCCTGATTTTTCACTGTACCATGTTACCTTGATAGACAATGTACCTACCCATAGGAGAAAATCCGAGTTGCTTTCCATCGACTCATCAGAGCAGCAAAAAGTCCCATGACCAAAGCAGAGCAATCAAAGAGCATGTGGAATCCATCTGAGATCAGACCAAGACTATTCGTCAACACACCATAGAATAATTCCACAAAGGTAAAGAGCTAAAAAATGTTTAAAAACAGTATTAGAGGAGGATGTTGGGGAATACATTACAACAGAGATTTAAGATTTATCAGAATTTAATCATGAGGATTTTAACCTTTAATTACCAAAACCTTCTTGGAAGATCTACTCAAAGTCTGCTTTAGTTAATTCCATTTATACTAGAAACCTCATTTTATATAAATTGTAAGAAACTATGCTAAACCAGATATATTCATTTTATAAGCTGTTTAAAAGGAGGCATGGTAGCTTTATTTATATCTGCAAAAACCAATAAACGAGGCGCTAAAATGTTATCTATCAGTGGTCTGTAGTGACATCGTATAAGGAGATAAAAATCTGAAAAGCTACTTTATTTATGGACTCAAAATAGCATACTGAACGATTCCATAGTATCTTGTTTAAGTAGTCGAATATGGTGCTGTGATCTTGACAAATACTTAAGAGAAAATATAAATTTTAGTCTGTTTCTAACAGAAATTTGTGAAGTACTAAAATGATGTCATTCTGTCAAAATCAAAATATTGATCTTTTAAGATATGCCACGAATACTTAAAAGTCTTACCAGATTCAAGCACAGGAAGTAAAAGATCTGCCTAGAGTCACTCTCCTCAAGAATCTGTTTTAGTGATTCCTTAATAAACCTAGGGACGGATTGAGAGCTATGCTGAAAAGCATCACCCATGAAGTTATAAAGAGGTGTTCCTTCAGGAGAATATCCAATAAGGGTACCTTTCTGTCCTCTCTTAGAGGGAGACGATAAGATGTTGGCAGCTACAAAGAAAAAAGAAGTATATTATAGAAGTTTTAAAAAGTTAAAGCTACCAAAAACACAGTAACTGCTAGCAAGCAATGACATGCAAATACTGAACAATTTCTAAAGCCAAGTAAATAAATGATTTGAACATCAGAATCTATAAAAGTAAATTTGTTAAAAATAAATCTATAAAAACAAATGATTTAAACATCAGAATCTATAAAAATAAATTTGTAATCTATAAAAATAAATTTGAAAATGCTTACACAAAACGAAGAACACAGCACTCACGACCACTCCTCCAGACAGGACATGTTCCGTGCTCTCCTGGTGTGTGGCTCTGTTCATAGTCCGAAGCTGGTCTGTTATTGGGTGTGTCCAAAAATTTCCCAAGAGGAGAGCACTAATAAGTATGGGAAAGGATCCATAGCGGGCACATTTAGAAACTTCCATTTTGACTGAACAAATGGAATCCACATAGAAATCCAGGATCATAACAAAAAAGATAACCGTTGTGAAAGGCATAATGAGAGAAAACCAAGATTCAACTTTACTCTAGAAATGAAAAACAAACAAACAAAAACTGGTCAGTATTATATATATGTATATATAAAGTTCATATTTTACAAGATGTTTTGGTTATATATAAACAAATGTTCTCATGATTCATAAAATGCTAATATATAAGAAATACAGGGCCAGGGATATAGCTCAGTGGTGCCGACGCCTGCCTTGTGAGCGCAAGGTCCCAAGTTTGATCCCTGGTACCAAAAAAAAAAAAAGAAATACAAGATATTGGTACATTTCCCTACTATTTTCTGAATAATTTAAAAGAAAGTACTGTTGGGCTGGGGATTTAGCTCAGTGGTGCTTTTATAAATATGAGGTGACCTATAATCCCTGAGTCTGACAGTTTTTTCAACTAATTCCTTTGGACCATAGGAATGTGAAAGATGCATTAATGTAATAGTATTTGACTTGTATTTTTTATAAACAATAAAATCAGCTCCAAATTAAAAAAAAAAACTACAAAGGAAAAGCAAAGATACTTTCAATTGCAATTTATTTTTTTTACTTTTTTTTCAATTGCAATTTAAAACAAAATACAATGTATTGAACAGAACTGGGTGTTGTAGTGCATACCTGTAACACCTGTAGTACTTGGGAGGCTGAAGCAGAAGGATCACTTTGAGTTCTAGGCCAGCCTGAGCTTCACACAGTGAGTTCAAGGCCAGCGTGAACTCCAGAGCAAGACTCTGTCTCAAAACAAACAAACCAAAAACACAAAAAAAACCCAACAAAAAAACCAAATAAACCATCCCCCAAACAAATAATAATGTGCTAAACAGAAATTTGTTTGTTTGTTTTTTGGTACCAGGATGGAACTTGGAACCTTCCTTTCAGGCGGTGGCACCACTGAGCTAAATACCTGGCCAAACAGAAATTTATAAGTAATAGTAATTTTACTTATTACTAATACATTCTTGCTCTTACCTCCTTTGTCACAGAAAGAACTATGACCCATGGGCACAAGAGAAGCACAGAAACCACCTGGGATAAAGCCTGAAGCCGTTTGGCTCCACCAACATCTATAGAGAGCTTTCTGGAAGCTGCATGAAAACCAACTTTACAACACAAAGCCAGTACTAGCAACAGTACTCCACCCTGTAAGTAAAATGAGATAAGTCTCATTAGAAACACAGACAATATTCAATCCTTAAATATATATTTGAAGAAATGGAGCTGGGGATTTAGCTTAGTGATACAGCACCTGCCTTGCAAGTGCAAGGTCCTGAGTTCGATCCCTGGTACCAAAAAAAAAAAGAAATGGAACTAGTCTTTTTTTTTTCTCATATCCTCAATTACTTAACTACTTAATTGTTGATGGTAGGCAAGTGGGCTACTACTGAGTTATACACCCTGATAGCTTAATCCACCCCCCCACCCCCCCACTGGGATTGAACTCAGGACCTTGTGCTTGTGAGGCAGGCCCAGGGTCACTGAGCTACATCCCCGGTCCTAAATGGACTTTTAAAGTTATAGCTGCTGGCCAGGTGTGGTTGTGCACCCCTGTAATCCCAATACTGGGCAGGAGGATCTCCGTGAGTTTGAGGCCATCCTGGGCAACATATGAGTTCAAGGCAAGCTTGAACTACTGACACTGTCTCAAAACAAAAAGAAAAACAAAGAAACAAAGTTATGGTTGCTATTACTTTTCAGCATCTTGTGCTCACATTAGCAACAAAGAACATACCTTGTGATCTGCCACACCTAAGAAGGCAATTGCTGTGTAAAGCATGTGAGTTAGAGCACTGTCATGATGTCCTTCAGCTAAGGGAGTTATAGTAAAGGAAAAAATTCCAAACATTAACTCTGTGAAGCTTAAATCCTCTTGAAATTTTAGCTACATTATTCTGATCTGCATACAGACTGATGCCCCAAACCTGAATACCCTAAAATAACTTAATGGTTCTCTAAAATCAAAAAATCTAAAATTTAATTTTGGGAAATAGTTTATAAACTGGAATGGCTTATGTTTCTTTTGTTGTCTCCAAAACAGGTATAATAATGCTAAGATATACTGGCTGAAGTTTAGTATTTCATCTCCAAAAGACATGCATATGTAGTGTAAGTAGGACAAAAGGACAACAACAAAGCATCTCCCTGAACCACTCTTGTCTAGTAGAATTAAGGTTGTACTTTAGACTAACATAAAATCAGTCTTGAACTTGTCACCTAAGCCCCAGCAAAGCAAGCAGCAAGTAAAAGTGGCTGGGTGAGGAATACAGGTTGTATCACAAGCAACCTGGAGCTTTATTAAAGTCATGTTTCCCTGCTCATTGAGACAAAATAATTATTTTACTAATAAGCTTTTAGGGCAATCACATCAGTAGCCAGAAAAGCCAAAATGAGTGCTTTGAGTTCTCTTAATTGGAGTAGGCAATGGCAGGTGGATAGGAAACAAGGCATAAAGTCAGAAAAAAGCCAGTAGACATATTTGACCAGAAAGGTGTGGTTAGGTAAGAGATGTTCCGAGGCTGAGCTGTAGCAACAATTTAGAGCAAGAAAGTGAAAACCAGATGAAGAAACTGAAATGTTTGTATTGTAGCACCAGGGTATTCTAATATATTCCTTCAATGTCTGAATTTCTGAAATTTTGGGTACTGTTAGAAAACACTGAATGCTCTAAAACATCTAACAGAATGAAACTGTTCATTCTATGAATAATGAGGATGTCCTCATTAATCTATGGAAGTTTCATTCATGATTGATCAGTTTAGTTCATTCATCTCTTCTTTCCCATTCTGCAGTCTTCTATAATTCCACAAGTCTTTACATAACTCCCATCTGCTGCAAAAAGGATACGGTGCTCAGCCATTTTAGCCAGGAGATCATCATTGTCGAAAAGCAATAAACAGATCACAGCAATAATGAAAAAAGCAGCTCCCCTGGTCTGAAAATGAAACAAAAAAAATAACAAAGGATAGTTTTTTCAAGGGTTGATTCTTAATATGACAACTACACAAATGCTAGAGAAACATTACCAAAAAAATTTAAAAAATAACATGACATTATAAAATATAAAAATAAAGTGATCCAACAAATTCTGTAGAATATTTTAAGAGCAATTAAGACACCTAATATTGACATCTTAAATTATTTCCTTGCTAACATGGCTAGCCATGTTAATATGAACAAACTGTTAATGTTTACAGAATCAATCTTCCTAAATGTTATTTTAAATCTGGTTGAAAAGCCTCAATTAAAGAATAATTAGTAGGGACTTCCACTGTATAACTTGCAAGGGAGAGGAGGCTATTATTGTTTCTACTTGTTCTAAGGAAAAAGAATCATGAGGCCATGTTAAGAAAATTAGCAAAGTCATTTTTAAGATCCAGTAAAGGTGTAAAGGAGTTAAGCTGGTAAGGTTTTTTTTTGGTACTGCGGATCGAACTCGCGACCTTGCACTTGCGAGGCAGGCAGCAGAACCACTAAGCTAAATCCCTGGCCCGCAAGCTGGTAAGTTTTTAAAGTTTATGTTCTCATTTCAGGCAAAGAAATTTGACAAAAGAAAATTTTACAAAGGACATATTAGCCTCATTTATGTAAATATTTCAGAAAGTGAGGTATAAAAACTCTAAACTATCATTACTATACATTTATACTTATGAATTTACAGGTACTTCCTGTATAATATATATACTTACAATACTGTATATGTAACACTCCATATATTTATATGTAAGTATATTATAAATACTTCTAATGGAAGTACAATGCAATATTTCTAGTAAATAAAAATTTAATGGGCTGGGGATTTAGCTCAGTGGTGCCACTGCCTGCCTTGCAAGTGCAAGGTCCTGATCCCTGGTACCAAAAAAAAAATTGAAATGAAAAGTGAAGATACCATTCTATTCATATGTGATTACCACCCAATTCTCAATGTGGTATTATGACAAAACTCAGTACATATTAAAACACTAAAATACAGAGATGTTATTTATTAATTTATTGAGACAAGGTCTCCCTATGTAGTTCAGGCTGGCCTTGAACTCATGGCAATGCTCCTGCCTCAGTATCTCAAGTGTTGGGATAACAGGTGTGGGCCACCATGCCTGGCAATAATAACCTTTTATTAACAAAGAGGGCAACTGAAAGTTCTGTCATGCTTCAGAATCATTTAAAAAAAATCACCACTTCTGGTCAGGTCTTTGATTCATTACTGAGAGGATATATAAGATCTATACTCTCATTTCTGATTATTAGTACTGCCTATTTTGAAATAATTTGTATTTTTAAATATATTTTTATTCCTATTAATTTTATAAGATATTAGGTTTTAATTTGGCATATTTTCATACATGCATAAAACATTTTGATCAGATCCACCTACCTTCCTTATATCCCCTCCTGCCATTACCTTCCTTTTGTAGAACTTAAGTGTTTTTCTTAACTGATGTGATTGATATTTTAAAAGAAATGTAAAACTTTATTTGTGGTAATTTCTGTTAAGTTTTCCCCATTGCTTTAATACTCAGAAAGTTCTTTTCTACTTTATACTGTAGATTATCTTGTTGTACATTGTTAGATGTGTGTGTGTGTGTGTGTGTGTGTGTGTGTGTGTGTGGCACTAGGGATTGAACCCAGGGCCTTTGAATTAACATAGACCCTGTCTCCAAATGAAACAAAGGAGCACTGCCATTTTAAAACTTATTTTGAGAAAAGGTCTATGTTTCCTTGGCCAGGCTTAAACTTGAAATCCTCCTACCTCAGCCTCCTATAGTGCTAGATTATAGGCACATGTCACCACATCCAACTTTTTTTTTTTTTGGTACCGGGGATTGAACTCAGGACCTTGCACTTGTGAGGGCAGGCAGCAGCTCCACTGAACTAAATCCCCGGGCCCAGCTTATTTTTTTTTTAACACATAAAACTTTAATGCACTTGAAATTTTGAAGTGCTACATGAATAGGGGGAAAGGACAAACTGGTGGCCTATGCTTTAATATTAACCACTCAATTTGAGAGCCAGGTGCTTTCTTATTGTGCTCTAAACTTGGCAGGTTATTTTGTTCACTTGATTAGTCTTCCCCCTTTATTTCTTTGCTTAAAATTCCCTTGCAGGACAGACACTATTATCTTTGTCTTTACTTCTCTTTTCCTGCATTTAGGACAATGCACCACTCATAGGAAATTTTAAATTTGCTAAGACAGAAACACTGTGGCTCTCACAGTTTATAACTGTAGATTTGGAACTCATTTTCCAGAAGAGTATAATAGGTGAATTACTTAAATGTATAGGGATGTTAATTGGCAAAGTGTTGGATAAATGTTCATTAGACTTTATTTTAATGAAAAAACATTTTATTAGTACATGTTTGTAGTACATAATGTTTACATTTCTTGTGGAGCTGATACATATACATTACATGTTTCAATTCTTTTTTTTCATCTTTTGCACTTCTCTTCCTCCCTCCAGTCTCTTGATTCTTTTCCCCTTTGAGAAAGATCTATCTCCCTACTCCCTATTATCTTTTATTTTGCTTGCTTTCTCCTTCTTTCTTTCTACTTATTTATTTTTGGTACTGGGGATTCAACTCAGGATCTTGTGCTTGCAAGGCAGACGGTGGAACCACTGAGCTAAATCCCCGGCCCGCTACTCTTTATAATTTTGGTTTCTCACGTAAGAGAAACCATGCAATATTTAAACTTATGTGATTGACTTATTTCACGTAACATTATCATCTTGAGGTACATCCATTTTCCTACAAATGACTCAAGTTTAACTTTCTTATGGCAGTGCAATATTCCATTATGTGTAAATACCACTTTTCTTTATCCATTTATCAGTTGATAGATATATAGACCACTTCCAAGATTCAGCTGTTGTGAATATGTGGCTATAAACCTGGGTATGCATGTATCACTGTAATAAGATGTCTGTAACTCTTTTGGGAAGATACCTAGAAGGGAATAGCTGGGTCAAGTGGAATTTCCATTTTTAGTGTTTTTTTCTCCCCCCCCCCCAGTACCTGGGATCAAACTTAGGACCTTGTGCTTGTGAGGTATGTATGGTGCCACTGAGCTAAATCCCCAGCCCCTATTTTTAGTTTTTTGAGGCATTTCCATACTGATTTCCATAGTGGTTGTAATTTACATTCCCACCAACAATGTAGAAGGGTTCCATTTTCCTCCTACAGCCTCTCCAGCATTTGTTATTATGTGATTTCTTAATGAATAGCCATTCTTTCTGGGGTAAGATGAAATCTCAGTGTTGTTTCAATTCACATTTCTCTAATGGCCAGCAATGCTGAACATTTTTTTATGTATCTACCAGTCATTTGTACTCAGAATTTATTTACTTATTTAGGTTTTTTGAGACAGGGTCTCGCTATGCAGTTCAGGCTGGCCTCGAACTTGTGGTGATCCTCTGGCCTCAGCCTCCCGAGTGGTGGGATTACAGGTGTGCGCCAAGTACTCAGACTTTAAATTTAACAAGCTTATAGGTATTTTCCAAAAATAATTTACAGGGATTAAGAATGAGGTGGGAAAGGGGGTACAGGGACAATATAAAGATCTTTGTGGTGGTGTCAGTATGGTATCTTGTTTGAGGTGGTGATACACAAACCTATACATACCCAAGTGTATGTGAAATTGGTATACTCTGAACAAGGTCTATAGAGTGTACTGATCCAATTTCCTGGTTTTAATAGTGCAGTTTTGTTTGTTAAGAAATAATCTTTGGGGAAAGTGAAAGATACATTGATTTTTACAACTTCTGAGAAATCTATAATCATTTAAAAATAAAAAGATGAAAAATGTTTTTGTAAGAAAAATGTAGAATTAGTATAAAACACTCCTGCATTATTTTGAAATGGTAAAACATAAGATTTTTTTTGCTTTGGATAATATTTTACAACCATGTTTCTCATTTCAAGTCACTGATAATGGAAAATTCTACCTTTGCTGGTCCTCCTCCAGAACTAGTGAACAAAACACTGAGTAATGAGATGACAACAATGTCACTGTGTTCAAATAACAGCAGAGTCCTACAAAGACAAAACATTGTAATTTATGGAATATATCTTTATCAGAAAGGATGAATTCACCTAGAGTAAAAGTATTTCCTTGGTTTCACAAAAAACATTATGAGAAAACTAAGTAGGTAAAATTATCTTGGAAAATATTTTGGTATTTGCCTTAGAGAAGTTGAAGCTAAAAATACAATAATATTACTTCTAGGATTATATTATACAGAGTATACTTAAAAGGCTGCTCATATCAGCATTGCTTGCTGTGGGTCAAAATGAGAAACAACTTACGTATCTACTAAGAAAGTAAATGTTACAGATGAATATTTCCACTGAATGGATTATTATATAGAAATAAGAATGAATGATATTTTATGAACATACAATAAAATACTGAATTTTACACTGAAATTAATTAATTAGTAAATTAATTTTTTTGTGGTGCTGGGGATCAAACCTGGGGCATTGTGCAAGCTAGGCAAGCATTCTACCATTGAGCCATACTGCTATTCCCCCTATTTTCTTTTTTGGAGACAAGATCTTGCTATGTTGCCCTGGCTGGCACTGAACTCCTTGGAGTCAAGTGATCTGCCTCAGCCTCCTGAGTACATGGGACAGGTGTGTGCAACAGCACCCAGCTCTGAAGAGAGCACATTTTAAAAAGGTAAATTTTAAGATATATAAGTTATATTTTAAAAAAACTACTATAAGCTGGTGTGGTAGGGCATACCTGTAATCTCAGCACTTGGGAGGCTGAGGCAGGAGGCCAGCCTAGAATACACAGTGAGTCCAAGGCCAGCCTGAACTACAATATTGAGACCCTGTCTGGAAAAACAAAACAGAACAAAACACCAAAAAACACCAAACCAAACCAACCAACCAACCAACCAACCGACCAAACAAACAAAAAAACCTACCATAAAAATGAGTACCTATATACATTTATCAAACGTGCAAATCTCAAACATAACACTGAATGGGAAAGGCATGTTGCAGAAAAATACATGCAATGTGATTCCATTATATAAAGTAAAAAGCTTGCCACACTAAAAAGAAAAAGCAAGATGTAAAACCCTAAAGAAAAATCAAGGCAGTGGTTATATCAAAGGCAGGGAGGAGGTGGGGGATACAATCAAGAAAGGCTCACAGGGTTTCAAAGGTATTGGGTAAGGTTTCATTTATATTTATTTTTTGTTTTTTGAGACATGGTCTCACATGTAGTTCAGGCTGTCCTTGAATTTGTGGCAATCCTTCTGCCTCAGCCTCCCAAGTGCTGGGATTACAGGTGTGCACTACCACACCTGTCCGGTAAGGTTTTATTTTGGAGGCTGAATGTTAGATAACACTGATGTTTATTTTATTATTCTTTAAACATCTTTATAGCTATATTTATTTATTCTATTTATATATGTAAATATTTTTTTGAAAAAATTAAACATCACAAGTTAAAGGAGGCTTATGGGATCTAAATAGTAACAGATTTCCACCTGCTTTTTAAATACACCTTCATTTTTCTCATTAACCAAAAATCTGTAATGGGAACACACTGATGATAATTTAAGAAAATAAATATATCAACAGTAATACCTAAAATAAGACAAACTATGAAGCACCAAAGGAGCGTTTGTTTTGTTTGTGCAGTACCAAGGGTTGAACCCAGGTTGCGCTACCACTGGGCTCCATCCCCAGCCCTCTTGAGACAGTCTCACTGTCACCTAGGATGGCCTCGAACTTGTGACTTTCCTGCCTCAGACTCCCAAGGAATTGGGATCACAGATGTGCACCACCATGCCTGGCTACCAAAGGAGTCTTTCTCATCAAGAAACTGCACAATAGTTTTAGTAAAGACTAGAGGGGCAGCACTGGTAGTTGTAAGAGGTTTAAAGGTGAGAAGTAGATGACTAAATAAAGAGTCAAGTAAGAATTTAAGGATTCACTTCTTCCTTCCCCACCCTAATGCATAGGGACAGTGATTTAGTAACATGAACTAAAGCATAAATTCATGAGTAAGAAACTTAAAATTTTGCAGATGATAAGAAATAGCACCACGCAATTACATTCAGGCATAAACTGAAAAGCTTTACCCAAGCTTGAGACAGCTTACCCACCCCTCTAGGATGCTGCTGCTACTGTTGATAGGGACTAGGAACCTGGATTTATGCATAGTCTGCACTGCCAAAGCACAGGACAAAGCCAACAGGACTCTACTGGCCGTGAGAGGGAAAAGGACTTCACAAAGCATTCCCCAACCACCACTTTTTACTCTGCCCACCCTACTATTCTGAGAGAGGGCCTTTAAAACATTCTTCACAAGCTGGGTGTGGTGGCACAGACTTGTAATTCCAGCATTTGGGAGGCTGAGGCAGGGGGATCGATGTGAGTTCAGGCCAGCCTGGACTACCTAGTGAGTTTAAGGCCAGACTGAACTACATAGTGAGACCCTGTCTCAAACAAAACAAAAATCCTTCATTTTAGTCTTTAAAAATTTTTTTTTTTTTAAGACAGGTGCCTCACTATGTAGTTCAAACTGGCCTTGAACTCACTAGGTAGCCCAGGCTGGCCTTGAACTATAGCAATCCTCCTGCCTCAGCCTTCAGGGTACTAGGATAATAGGCGAGTACTGGGATAACAGGTGTGTACCACCAGGCCTGGCTTAAATGTTTATTTTTATTAGTACGTGTTTACAGTACACAACAATTCCATTCACTGTGGGCAGTTGGCACATGTATATAACACATCATTTTTTGTGTGTGTGTGGGGGAGATGATGAACTCTTGCAGGGCAGGCACGGTGCCAAATCTCTGGCCCCAAACACATCTTAATTCTTTTTAGGTCCCTTTCCTTTCTCCGCCCTCCTCCCTACCTCCTTCATTTTACTCTTTACTTCCTGCCTCAGATTTCCTCCTCATCAATGGCAATGTTTTCTTACATTTACCCACAAAGTAAAACCTTTCAGAAATAGAGAAAGAATAAAAGAATGCTTATAACAGTTTCAAATGTTATGTTTCCTATTAAGTGGCCCTTAAGCATTTCCTCACTAAGCCGGCCCATATGCGCAATAAGATTATATACAGATCTAGGGGAACAGGAAATGAGAGCGTCTAGTCAACCCACCACACATTTACATAAATGACTGACACTGCTCTAGAACATCCTAGAACATCTGTTCACAAGCATACTTGCAGAACTGTCAAAAAACAAGAGCTTTTAAAGACTTTGGTCTCCTTTTTGGTTGATTTTATTTACCATTTCAGACCTTTTAGCTTCTAAATTAGCTGCTAAAATGGATCACTGATAAGTGATTAAAAAAGCTACTTATGCTAAAAATTTTCTGAAACTTTGGATTCTTAACTACTGAAAATTATGACAGATAATAGAAACACTAATAGTATTCACCAGAGAATTAGTTCATAAATAGGTTCTTTTATTTGCTCTCCGTTGAGTCCTACCCAGTGATAGAACTATAGAAATGACAGGAGCATTTGTACAAATAAGTATTTGACATAAAACATAGAACAGAAATAATATTCACAATGAAAAAATGTAAACATTCAAAATATGCTTTTTTATTTACCTTAGTGGTCCACAAAGAGTAAGGCCAAAAAACCACAAGAGTGAAATGATACACCCAGCAACTGCATGTTTAAATATTTTGATCCACTACAAATGAAAATAAAAAATTTTAGTCACATATGTTTTGCTAAGTATCTCAACCTTTAAACATACAGGGAAAGATGATAATGGTGTCACAAATATTTTAAAGCATAAATAATTAAATAGAAAAACAATATGATCTCTTCTAAGTCTAGATTTGCAAGAGATTTAAATTTTCATATTCTTATCTGTTTCTAGATCTTAAAATCTTTTTCTACAGAGTACAATTTTCTGTTTTCTCAGTTTCTAGGAATATTTAATAATTAGTTTTTAAACTTTTTTTCATTAGGAATTCTTAGTGTTCCAATTATTTGAAAACAGAAAAACTTAAAGATGAGGTTTAAAATATTAATCTTATTTTAAAAAAATTCTTTATCTCTAACACAGAAGTACTTAAATTTGTCATCTAGTGTAGAAAAAACAGTATCCTAAGGTTTCTAATTGTCTGCATAAAGCAAACACGTAGTAAGCATAAGTGCTGCCCAATGAGGTCCATGGTATGGAGATCATGCAGGATGTGGGGCATTTCTGGCACAAAGCTTGAAACTCAGCTGCCTAAAGGGAAGGACAATGATGATAAAAGTGATGCATCCTTATTACTCCAGGTCCCATTCTAAGAACTTTACGCGTATATATTCATTCGTCCCTCACAGTTCCATAAGAAAGTTATTATCTCCATTTTGCAGGTGAGCAAGTTAAGGCAGAAGGAAATTAACTTGCCCAAGTAAGAGAGCATGAATCTGCCTGACTAATGTAGCCTCACTTAAGCCCATCTGCTTCCCAGTGATATTATACTGTACTAGGGTCACAGGCAGCCTCATATCCAATTTGTGCATTTTGCAGAATGAGGAGCCTGTATTAAAACAACTACATATATGCTTTTACATTTTTCTACCCTCTTCTGCTTTTTAAAACATCCCATTATCTTGGGATTTTATTTTTATTTACTTTTTTTGAGACAGGATCTCGCTATATAGTTCAGGCTGGACTTAAACTCATGGTGATCCTCCTGCCTCAGCCTCCCAAATGCTGGGATTACAGGTGTGTGTACCACCATGTCTGGTCTATCTCGGCATTTTATAATTTACACTTTTTTTTCCAGTACTGGGGATTGAACTCAGGACCTTGTGGTTGCGAGGCAGGCAAGGTGCCACTGAACTAAATCCATGGCCCTATAATTTACTCTTGAAGCCTCAATTCTGAAAAGACAAGACTAAAGCAAGTGGACTCTAAAAATTTTCTGCTGTGCATTTAAACAATTCCTTAAGTATTCTCAATTGACAAATGAGCACTGTGTTCTCACCCACTGAATGGGAGGCTGGTAGGAATAAATGATTCTGCAAAAATCTTACCTGGTGTTTGGTGATAGTCTTCCCAGAAGAAAATGGCTTTTGAAACAAAACCATAAAAAATGCAGTCCTGTAAACATTGAAAACAGTAGGATTAATATTAATATTAAATACAAGATGTGGTTTTAAAGAAAGAAACTTATTTTAAACAAATATACTAGAACTTGAAAGGTATGCTATGCTCTAAAGAACTGTACTGGATGGAGAACTACACTAAAAGTAATGAGATTTCCATGGCAACATCTTAGGATCTATTCTTTCATAAATATCTTTGGAACCAGTTCTCAAGCCTTACAAGTAAAGGTGACTCATTTTTTCTTTTTTAAAGACAAGGTCTCGCTATGTAGTTCATGCTGGCCTTAAACTCACTATGTAGCCCAGCAATTCTCTTGCCTCAGCCTCCTGAGTGCTGGGATTACAGGTGTGTACCACCATGGCCAGCGACTCAATATTTTTTACCTTGAAATACCACAGAAAATAATTCCTATTTTCTCAAAATTCAGTAATAACAAACCTTGAACCAATATAATATAAATGAAAGAAGTGCTAATTGTATGTCCCTACTTTCAGGAGGCCCGGAGATCTAGCTCAGTGGTTCTGGTGCCTGCCTTGCAAGCACAAGGTCCCGAGTTCAATCCCCAGTACAAAAAAACAACAACAGAGAAATGGTGCTGTATGTCCCTACTTTCCATATTGCCAAAATAGTTATGTAAAAATGCATACAACTGGTATTTAAAATTTCCTAGTCAAGAATCCCTTCCAAATTCCTAAAATTATATTCCCAAGTGTCTTTAACAGATTTTTATTAGCACAGACAGTGGTCATTATCAATCTCAAGGTCTGGAAATCTCTATTTAGGAAGAATGTCTTACTGCACATAGAATGTAGTTTATACATAATGAAAATCCTGTACTATGCAGGGATTGTGTAGGGAACACAGCCCAGTGTAGTTTAACTTAGAAAATAAGGAACACCTATGGAAAGACACATAACATTTTGTATATGCACGACAAATGGGAATCCTTAGGCTCCTCAAGACCCTTTCAGGGTCAACTGATTTTTATAAAAATACTAAACATTATCTGCCTTATTATTATTGTCTAAGGAGTGTATTGTAGAGTGGAAATTTTCAGAGAATAGGTGATATGAGATACTGCAACAGGTTAGCGAGGCAGACATAAGAAATCAGTTGTCCTCTACTAAGCTACAAATTGAAAGACTTCTGCACTAGGTGGTGAATGCCTGTAATCCTAGCACTTGAGAGGCCAAGACAGGAAGATCTCGAGTTTGAAGCCAGCCTGGGCTACATAGTGAGTTTAAGCCTAGCTTGAACTACACAGCGAGACCTTGTCTCAAAAATAAAGAACTTGCAAAAACTTCATTAACACAAACTAAAGCAAAAGTCTACATTTCTTGCAAGTAATTAAGAGTACAACAATCCCTTTTTTTTTTTACCTGTCTCTTTGTGCCTTTAACTTTAGGTATTCTATTTAAAAAAATTATCAAACAAGGGCTGGGGATTTAGCTCAGTGGTTCTGTCACCTGCCTTGCAAGTGCAAGGACCCAAGTTCGATCCCCGGTACCAAAAAAAAAAAAATTATCAAATAAGCATCAGAAGGAATTGCACAAAACATTCTATGTAAAGTTTCCTAAAGATACACTTAAAAAAGGATTTCCAAGAAATAAAAAACCTTAAGAACCCCTCCCCACATACTCACCCAAGTTTTAATATGAAAATGAACTGAACAACGTGAACAGTCTTTAGGAGATCATATGATTCAAAAAGTCCCACAGCTTTCAAACATTTAGTGAAACAGAGTAACACAATATATTTTGTTAATCTGAAAAATGGAAGCAGAAACAATTTTTAGTATCACTGAAATCACAAGGAACTCAGTAATCCAAGTCATTACAGAAATCACAAAAATACACTTAAACATGGTACAATGTTTTTAAAATTCAAACACTCACCATCTGCACAACTACTGTTAAAATTTTGGTACATAGACCCCTGATGTCAATGTGTATGTGGGTATGAACAATAATGTATAGATAACAGCCTAAGAAAAGCATCACACTAAAATTAAAAATGTTCTTGGTTAAATGAGCTAACAGGACTACTCTGTAATCTTTTTTTTCTTTTGTACTGAGGATTGAACTCAGGACCATAGTGCCACTGAGCTAAACCCCTGGCCCACTTTGTAATTTTTTTAAATTTTTATTTTGGTATTTTGGATCAAACTCACAAAGCACTGACTGAATTACAGTTCCAGCCCTTTTTATTCTATTTTGAGGCAAGGTTTTGCTAAGTTGCCCAGGCTGGTCTTGAATTTGTGTTCCTCTTGTCTCAGCCTCCTGGGCAAGGGGATTATAGGCTGTATCTACTGCAGGCTTGTTGCCTTTTTTTTTTTTTCCCTCGGTACCGGAAATTGAACTCAGGACCTTGCACTTGGCCACCATGCTTGTTATCTTTTTTTTTTTTTTTTTTTTTGGTACCGGGGATGAACTCGGGTCCTTGTGCTTGTGCAGTGGGCGGCAAAACCACTGAGCTAAATCCCTGGCCCTGTTGTCTGTTTTTTAATTGAACAATTACTCCAAACAAGGAGAATGAAAAGAAGAAACAAAATTCTTTCTGTGATGAAATTAGAAGACCATAACATCAGAAGCAGCAGAGGAAAGATAAATGCCTTAGATTTGCCTCTCCTCTAACTTGCTAAGTAACTGCAGTGAGGAATGTGGTTATTTTATTTTACTTTTTTAAACAAATACTTTTTTATTCTTTTTTTTTTGGTATCGGGGATAGAACTCGGGTCTTTGAGCTTGCGCAGCAGGCAGCGAAACCACTGAGCTAAATCCCCGGCCCGAGGAATGTGGTTATAAAGTCTGGTGACAGGACCTACAGAGTCATGAAAGGGCTCAGGACCTGGAAGCACCTAAGCAAGGAGTGGCAAGCTGCAGAGGAGGATCCTTAGGGGAAGGAATCTTCCAAGTAATCAGATCACAGATTCCAGCTCCAAAGCTTTTCCACCACTACCTGAGTCCTGAGACAGCCTCGGGATAGGTCTGGACATAAAACAGAGGAAAGGAAGGATGAGGCACTGGACTAAAAACAGAAATTAAAAAGAAGTTCTCCAGCTGGGCACACTGGTACACACCTGTACCCCAGATACTCAGGAGACTGAGCCAAGAGTATCCTGAATTCCTGGCCAGCCTGGGCAATTTACTGAGAACTTGTCTCAAAATTTAAAAAGGACTAGGGATGTGGCTCAGTGGTAAAGTGCTTCTAGCATGGGCAGGGCCCTAGGTTCAATTTCTAGTACTAATACAGACAGTACAATTGGGGCTGTTGGGCCACTCCCCTCCACTCACCTGAACCTGAGCAATGCCGGCAGGGCCAACTTCTGACCCTTGACCTAAGGCTTACTACATGGAAGCAGATAAGTAAAGCAAAGACCCCCAAGGCTGCCCTGGAAAATTTCAAAATTCTAAACTAGGACACATGTCCACCTGCCTAGATGATCTGCAGTAACCTTTCTTCACTGGCACTCACTGAAGGTTCATGCATATGGACTGCATCTCACACATTCTATTATAACAGAATGAATTACGGGAAAGGACATGTGCAATAGATACAGCTGACATGACTCAGCACCCTGTCAGTCATGTTGTCAGTCATGCTCTGAAAGATCCCAATGGGAAGTGCTCCAGAACCGGTGGAACATTTTAAGGGCCTACATCTTATACCCTCAGGGTTCTGTGCCATTTTCCTTTCATAGATGTGAGCCTGCTCACTCTGAATGTAGTATGACTTAAAAAACTTTGCTGCTTTTTGTGACATGTCCAATTTTTTATCATGCACAAGAACCTAGAGACCTGTCCTGGACCCCACTGATGTAGGAGGTAGGGTGTGGCAAAGCTGGCTGGGGAAATAAGCGGGATCTGTCAATCACAAAAGCCCAGAACAGCATCAAATAATTCGCAGGACCCCATATTTGGAACTTCTCGGGGCAGCATAAGAGACAAGACACCACAGGGAGCCCACTATCATGACTGCTCATGGTAGCGCACCCTGTGTCTCTGCGATGCAAGGTGCACTTTTGCTTTTCTCCTTTCTTCTCTTTGTTCGGCCCAAGTTTGTTTTGCAGAACTAGTTCTTCTCATATCCTTCACTCTTCACTTTTCAAATAAACTTTTGGCACCATTTTGGCTTGCGTCATCCACTTCTTTGTTTGAGGCAAGGAGGACTTGGAATACTTTTGATTGGCAAGCTATTTTTAAAGGAAGTACCCAACAACACCATGGCCCATGGTAACAATACTACAATAGAAAAAAGTAGTTTCCCTTCTAAACTGTTCACTCATTTGATCTAATACCCCAACAACCAGGCTTCAATATCTCAGCAAGGAATGCTTCTGGAAAACCTACCAAATCTCTAGCAACTACCAAGGCATGAAAGAAAAATGTGTGTACTAGAAAAAAATGGGACATTAACATTGAAGTGAAAAACACCTTAGAGATTCTCTAGCCCAATTCCTCTCAAGTTATAGATTTAAAAAGATGAACAGAGTTGCAGGTTGGAAGTTCGAGGATGCTTGGCTGTCGCTGCTGACTAGAATGGACCCTGCCAGCCATGACTTCAGCCCCCGTGGGCAAAGATGGGCGCTAGGTGGGGGGGAAGGTTGCCCGGGCCACTCCCAACGTGTGGCTAACTGGTTTTCTTGCTCGTCCTCAGAGTCGGAGACCCGGCAGAGGCTGCTGCACACCGTGAAGAAGGAGAGTATTTTCAATCCACTGGAGATACAGAACCCTCAGATGTAAAGGGCTGGAAACTGATTGTGTTATGCCTGTAAGGCAGAAACTAATATCACCCATTTCACTGATGGAAAAGCCAAAGCTCAGAAAAGGGACAGGAACTGCTCCAGATCATTCATGAAGAAAGAAGGAACTCCTAAGCCACCAAGAAAGATGGTGTGAATCATTATTTGACAATATGTGAAAACACCGTGCAGTCTCTCAGGTGCTCGATTGTCCAAGGGCTATCAAAACTGATAATGGAACTACAGCACTCTGAAAAAAGAGACTGAAGAGGATATAAGAAAATGGAAATACATCCCTTAGGAAGAACCCATATAGTGAAAATGGCCATACTTCCTGAACTACTATATAGATTTAATGCAATGCCAATTGAAATTCCAACAGTGTACTTCACAGAACTAGGGAAAACAATCCAAAAATTCATTTGGAACCAGAAGAGACCTAGAATAGCAAAAGCAATTCTAAGCAACAGAGACATGGCAGGGAGTATCACAATCCCCAACTTGAAACTATACTACAAAGCTACTGTGATAAAAACAAACCCGAGGATCAGTGGAATAGATTAGAAGATG